TCCAAAGGAATTGAAATTAGGATCTGAAAGAGATACTTGCATTCCCCTGTTCATTGTAGCATTATTTTAAATAACTAAGCCACGGAAGTAACCCAAATGCCCATTGACAAATGGATGAAAGATTAAAAACACACACACACACACACACACACACACACACACACACACAGCAATATTATTCATCCTTAAAAAGAAAGTAAATCCTGCCATGAGTGAGTGACAATAAAGATGAACATAGAGGACATTGTGCTAAATAATGCCAGATACAGAAAATAAATGTAATATGGTCTCAGTTATAGGTGGACCCCCAAAAAGTCAAACTCATAGTTAGCAGAGTAGAATGGTGGTTGCCAGGGGAGGGTGGGTCAGAGGACCAAGAAGGGATCGGTCAAAGTGCACTGTTTCAGTTATTCAAAATGAATAAGTCCTAGAGTTCCACTGTGTGGCACAATGCCTAGAGTTAATAGTACTGGGTTGTATACTTCAAAATTTGCTAGGAGTGTTGATTTTTTGTTAAGTGCTCTTATCACAGCATTAATAATAAACAAACAAACAAACAAACAAATAGGAAGCCAGGAGGAAACTTTTGAAAGCAATAGGTTTATGACATACATGTGGTAATGGTTTTACAGATGCATAATTATTTGCAATTCAAGTTGTATACATTAACTATGTGCAGCTGTTTTAATGTTTATTATATTTCAATAGAGTGGGTTTTTAAAATGTTTTCATTAGTGATTATACATTACAGTGAGGTTCGTTTTGAGATAATCATGCATAAATGGAATATAATTTGTTCCATTTCAGTCTCCACTATTTTCTCTCTTCTACCTTTCCTGTTCCTCTTCCTCTGCTCTGTTTATTTTTAAATTGATGCCTTATAGATATACATAAAGGTGGAAGTCACTGTCATATTTTTATATATGCACACAGCATAATCCATTTCATTCCACAGTTCCTCCATTGTGTTTTTTAAATGAGTAATATTCTCTCCTTATTGCAAAGTAAAGTTTATATTTTCTTTTGCTATTTCATAATTCTTTTGCCTAGCCAATAACCTCATCTTTGTTAAGGGTGCCTTAAAATATAGATTATTGTTATTAAAATTTTGTTTGTAGAATTTTTCAGTTCTGAAGATATTTTTTAATACAATCATTCTTTTTTAGCAAATTTTTCATAATTGTTGAGATTTATCTTTGATTACAGGTTCTCAACATTCATCACCTGTAACAGTCAGTGTTTACGAATTAGAATAGTCAAGTAAATACTTCAACCAGGAGAAAATTTAAACATAGGGAATTAGGCACTGAAAAAGTCCCTTGGAGAAGTTGGGGACAGAGAAAGCTACTGTGACCTTTGAGGAACTCGGGAAAAGGAAAGAATCCTAGGAAATTTTCCCATGATCCTGATCTCAGCAGCTGCAGCTCAGGGGTGGCAGGTCTGGTGCCACCCACTCACATCAGCTTGCCATCACGTCTGCAGACTCTTCCGGTCCCCACAGGGTTTGCCTCTGCCAGAGAAACAGTAATGATTTCCTCCTTGCCACTAGAATGTGTCTTCCCTCTTATGCTTTAAGATGTTAATGGACAAAGGATCACCATTATCATCCTCCAGACATCCCTCTGAGTACACATTTCCATTAGTCCCCAAACTAAAAGAGACAAAAAAGAAAAGTAAAAACACATTGGATTTCTCATCAAATTTTCACCCTGACTTTTCTTTCTTCTTTTTCTTTTCCTCCCTTTCTCCCTTCCTCCCTTCTTTTCTTTGTTCCTTCCTTCCTTCCTCTCTCCCTGAGTCCTTCCCTTCCTCTCTCCCTCTCTTCCTCCCTCCTTCCTTCCGTTCTTTCTTTTTTGAACCAGGTGTGCTGGCAGGTTTGTTTTGGCCACTTGGTCACTGCTACTAAGTTCTGCTCTTGTGCACATTCTGCAGGTGAACCCCATACAGGAGCACACTGCGTGTGGGTGACCAGATAGTCTATGTCTGATTGCAAAGCCATGATACCACAGCAACCACCCCATGGGTACAGAACTCAATCCACAAAACATGCCTGTGTAATGGGTCACAAAAGTTAGCAAAGATTGTTCTTTCCAATTGTCACCCAATATCTCCTTATAAATCCCCTTCCTCGGTAACCTGGTATTCATTTCGTAAGGTTGCTGTGAAGACTAAGATTTCTTTCTCCTATCTTTCTCACTTGAAACAGTGCCTAATCCATGATAAATGCATAATAAAAGCTGCTATTATTATTTGTTGTCTTCCTCCTTCTCCATCATCATCATGACTTTTTACTGGAGAAATTGATAGGTTTATGTGGCAGATTGTTGTATTAGACTTAATTATTTCTCCCTGGACTATGCCTTGGTCATTACCTCTTTCTAAGTATAATGTAATTCTTTTCTTGCTTGAATTTGGACTTGGCCATGTGATTTGTTTTGGTCAATAGCACACGAGCAGGAGTGAAAATGTGCCAGTTCTGATCCTAATGCTTTAAAAGCTCTGTATGTTCCACTTGCACCTTTGCACTTCTGCCACTGTCATGAAGTTTCCTTCCAGGCCACTTCTGCCCCTTCAGCCTGAGCCCCACAGTGAATGTACATAGGCTAGGATTGTGCTGGTCAATCCAGAGGATGGCAATGGGAAGCCTCCCATGAGTCCAAATTAGATCACCTGAACCCCAGCCACATAGGTGTGAGCACTCAGTGATTGCTGCTCAAAACCCCTGAGTTTGGGGGTAGTTTCTTAAGCGCCAGTAGTGAATTAATATACCTATTTCAGTTTCACCTACATCGAAGACCTACTAGTGATAGAGTCAAGAGATGACTGCCACTTTCTTGCTACATTATGTTCTGCTCAAATGCTGGCTGTCGCTCCCTGTGAACATTGCCCAGAGTAGTGCTGCAGGAACATGAGTGGGTGTTGGGAGAGGTAAGGATTGGTGCCAATTTCTTCCTTCTGTGTTTTTGCTGCCTTCAACAGTCTGCCAGCTGGTGCAGCTGCACCCTTTGGACAAATGATATGATATCCTGGGCATTAGCCTAAATGGTACCACACATGCAAAGAGCCACAGCTGCTATTTGTTGTGCTTCTTGCTGTTCTTGGCTCTGTCGTATTGCCTGAGGGTGGCATAGATTTCTACACACCAAGTGTGGCTTTCCAAGATTCATAGATAGAAGTTTGATCAACGCAGCTGCTAATGATGATGACTGTGCATTTAGAAAATAGGCCAAGACCATTTAAAAATATCTTAGAGATTTTTCTTAGAGCAAGAAGTATATAAATAAATTAATCTCATGAAATTATTTGATAGAACATCATATGTTTAGCCCTTCCAGGAAAAAGCTAACATCTTATTTATATTGTTAATATATTTTTATATTATTTAAAAACCTGTATATATGGACTACTTTTGGGGCTTTGTGTAATAATATTTATATCAGCATAATATAGATAAATACCATGAGTTAATTGAAGACTAAAATTAAATTTACAATTAGTTTCCTTTTTAAAGTAAAAATGGTGGTTTGCTCCACATGTATCTCCTGAAGGAATTGAAAATAATTATTGACTAGCATATGCTATTGGTGAGTGTGATCCACATCAGATTTTCTGAGCTTGATTTTAAACCTAAAAATAGGAATACAGAAGTAACACAAGTTTAATTAATAGTTCACAGAGAAGACATTATATTTCTAATCCATTCAAAACTTAATCAAAAGTGATTATTTATTGATAACATTTGCCAGTGCTCTGGGTTCAGCAAAGGAATAAAAAGAGAAAAAAGTATATGTATTGCCCAGCCACAGGGTTGATAATTGAGTAGTATGGGACAGAGCCACACCTCAGAGCAGTTTTGTTGAAAATATAGGCAAATGTATAGCATATTGTTCTCAATACTGGCTCCAAATCAAACACTTGAGTACTTCAAAATTATCAGTAGTTGGCCTCTCCCCAAACGTTCCACTTTAGTTGGTCCAGGGTGCGACCAAGTAATTAGCACTTCAGTACTTGGAAGTTTCCAAGTGAGTCTAATGTTTACAGTTAAGCCTGCTGTATATGCTATTTTGAAATTGTTTCAATTCCAAGAGATTGCTAATATGGGTACAACAACTGATTTCAGGTTTTTTTCTAGAGAAGGTTCATTGAGGAGTTGAACTTATAATTTTATGATTTTATAGAAAAGAAACATGGATTGATATAGAAAACTACTTGTATTTTTAAATCCATTATATGATTTGGATTTCCTCAAGTTTTGTCGTTTCAATCAGCAAAACTTAGATTAATTAATCTGTGAGATGCTTATCTTTGCCTGCTAATTGCCTCTGTTAGTGCTTATACTTGATGTCAATCTAGATTTTTTTTTTTTCATGTTTGTGTCCTTCTATAAAACTATGACTTCAGTCATGGTTATGTGCTGAAGTAGAAGAAATGATTTGAAGAATTTGATTAGGCCCATATATTTTCTATATCTGTTTAATAAATTGGTATCAGCCATGATAGATGTGTTTACACCAAGGAAATTGGCAAAGACTAAAAATCAAATACTCTCTTACTCCAGAGACAATTGTTAAATATTTAATAACGCACCATCAATTTTGGTTGAAGAGAGTTATGGGACATAAGTTAATTTTTTTTTTCATACTTGATGTTATAAATTTAAAAGTTTTAAGTTTCAACTTTTAAGTACCTATTAGTCTGGGGAAAATTAAGCCTACATTTTACAAGTATATGTGTAGTTTTATTTTATTTCATCTTGAATTTCTCTCCTCATTTTGTCTTCACCATCTAAACACATATTCTATGCTCAGAGGAGATTTACTTGGGTCAGCTTGAGAATCATCTTGTTTTCTCAAGTCTGCCTTCATACCATCCCATACCAGGGTTCTCAGTTTTTAACGTAAACTTACAGCAGAGCTTTTCTCTTAGATGAGAAAAGATAACCAAGAAAATAAATTAGAAGCCTTATGATTGACTCTATTTTTTTGTTGTTGTTGTTCAAGGAAACCAAAAATGAAGCAAAATATGGAACTTTGCCAAGGAAAACATTTTTTTACTATTTCAATTACAGTTTTAATTGGCTGGGTCTGGCGGCCAGATTATCCTCTAATCTCTACAAGAATGTTACTTGGAAAAAAATGAAATGTACTCTGCATGGAGCTGCATCCATCCTTTCAGCACATTCTGGCTGAAATAACGTTCATTCAGCAAGCTGGAATCATATCGGAGAAAAATTGGAAGTTCCTGGAATAACTTAATCTGTAGATTGTATGAAAGCTTGATTCACTATCAACATATTATTAAAAAGTCTAAAAAATGTAATGTGCCTGAATCCAAGATAAAAGTAACAATATTCTGATATTTATAAAGAAAATACCTTTAATGAATAATGTGGGCTTGTGTGTACATGACTGTATATACATATATAACTGTGTGTGTGTTTGTGTGTGTGTAGGTGTGTATGTGCACACATGTGAGTGCAGGATGGAGGTAATAACAGCAACAGAACGAGGAGGAAATTATTTGGATGGTTTCACAAAATCTCCATGGGATGTGTTTTATTAAGATTACACTGAGAAATGGCGCCAGCCGCTTATCAGACATGTGGGTTCAGAGAAAGGAAAAGGATTTTCTTTTCTGTTTGTTTTGCTTAAATAGGTCTTGAAAACATTGATATTAAAAATAGATTATTATGTCTTCAGATTGCTATTTTTTGATATCTTCTCATTCTCTTGGGATGAAGAGCTACTGTGCACATCATTTAAAAAAATATTTGTAGTCGGCTTCCACCAATGGACTCCAGAAAATGCATTTTAAAAATGTGTGACTATGATAACCAATTGTTTTTTTACCCTACACTGCTTCTCTTCTTTGAATTTGGATTGTTTGGCACAATATTGAAATCATAAAATTTAAATGGACATCAAAGTCTCTTTGCATCTGTGTCATGCTGGGACAAGGCCACTATTATGGATCTTACCATTAAAAGTCCCAAAAAATGTGTTCCAGGGATGACCTCTGCAGTGTACATTTTCCATCCCATAAAATCTTGCTTCTTAAAGGTTGATCTCAGGAATAGCAGTATACCCTGAGGGCTTGCTAGAAATGCAGGTCCCATTTGATAGACTAGACCAAAATCTGCATCTTGGCAGGATTTCCTGATATACTAATGTAAGCATTAATATTGAAGAAGCTGAATCTACACTTTGGACTATTATCTTGGATATTTATCTAAGAATGAACACAAGTGAATATGTCTATCAGTGTCTATATCAGATATCCCATGGAAACTACAATGTTTACTGGAGTATTTATCAGTAGCTGTAACTGCAAAATAGAACTAGTCTCAATTTATGATATTAACAATTAGTAAAAATGCCATCCCTTCATTTTTTTCAAAAGTGTTTATTGCTACTATTAGTACACTCACTAGATTTAAGATCCCATTTGAATGTACATCAAGATGTCAGTGTTTGTGCAGTTGTCAGAAGTTTTGTTGTGGCTTCTCGGAGTTACTTTTTCTGAAAGTTTACTTAGTGCTGTCATAGTGAACACTTATTATTTAATATGAATAAATATCTGGAAGTGGGGTTCAATGCATTTACATTCTTTGGTCAACTTATTTTTACTGCAATTTGCTACAGAGAAAGAAATAGGTTGCATAATACAGTCTACATGATTTAATTCTATAATGGCACTAATTTGATTTAAAAAATCATAAATTATCTTTAGATGTGAAGCTATTGAGAGAAGTTATGAGAAGAAAGAAGGAGAAAGGAAAGATGTAGAGTTTGATGGAGAGAACGGAGGGAGAGAGAAGTACAGTCCCCAACCTTAAAAAAAAAAGTGGCTTCATTAATAATCAGTTACAGTCTGAACAAAAATAAAAACATTTGTGTTTATCAAAACCATTCTAAGTTCCTGAAAACTGAGACTGATTAATTAAAAGGAATTCTCAAAGTATGAGAACTCTGCCTCCTTCTATTCTCACACACACACTCTTTGGCTTCTAAGAGCTACAGGACAAGCAAAGCCAGAGCCAAATACAAATCTTTATTTTTACATAAAGTTCTCCTGAATTCTTGCCTTCTTCCTTATCCTAGTCAACTTCCAAGAAAACCTGGAAGGAAATGAAAACCACCATGATATCTGCCCACTCAAAAAAGAAAAGAAAAGAAAAAAGTCTTGAATAGGTTCTTAGCATTCTCAGAGTCACAGGGTCTCCTTAAACAAAAGCTCTCCTTAGCTCTACAAAGCTGTATTCCATCCTGGGAAAAGAGGAAGACTCACAATGCACAGGAATCTCAGGCCCAAGTTAAGCAGTTGTAAGGTACTGGGCTCTGATGATAGACACACCAGGGTTTATGTTCCAGCTTAGTGGCTCAGTGGCTTTGGCAATGAGGTTCTCCTGTTTCCTCATCTATAACAAAACAACATATATTTCAAAAGTCTAGGACATTAAGCACAAGGCTATAATCCACATGCCTGGGAAGGTTTACAGTCAATGATAACTCTTCTTCTCCCATCCTCCCTCCAAGTCCCCCCCTCCTCACCTTGTCTTCCAGTCTGCTTCTTCTTTACCCACATTCATTTTCCTCTTCCTCCCACGTTTACCGTTCTTGAAGCCCAAGCTCCAATTGCTCTCAAGTAGAGCATCACAAATGGAAATTATATTTAGGTTAAAAGAGTCTCAGGAAGAGCAAAGTCCATAGGCCTGCAGGGAGCATCAACCATTACTTATGTTTCTCATTGATGATCTATTTATTTCCACATCCAATAGTTCCTTTCAATTTCCCACCATGGTTTGTGGTACCCAGGTAAAACAAGACCTGGTGGGGAATCACATGTGGGGGTTTCCACTCCAAGCTGAATCACTACTCTAACTTCCCTCAAACTTTGCTGCTTCCAATGAACTTGTGGCTATCTTATGCCGTTATCAGACCTGAATGTGCAAAGTCCATGTATTGTAGCTTCTGACATCTTTGCTCCACACAGAGATTTTCCTTTAAGGATGGAGTGGAGTGTGAAATGAGACAACACGTTTACAACAATGCCTGAAACTATCAGAATCAGAATTCAACAACCTTAAAAAAGTCATCACTGGAGAATAGGTTAATATCCTTGTTTAGAGAAGCACTTTTCAACTTCCTGCTCTGACACTGAATTATTTGGATCAATGACTACAATGCAGTTTAATTCTAATAATTTTTAGTGTACCAAACTGTGCATGAGTTAGTTTTTATAATATAAATTAGAATGCTTTAAATGTATTATGGAAATGTCTCCCTCGGGGGAATATTCTAAATGTTTTGTATCCCCCTAAAATCTACATGTTGAAAACGAACCTCCAAGGTATTGCTATTAAGAAGTGGAATCTTTGCGAGTTGACTAGGATATAAAGCCCCTGCCCTTATGAATGGGATTAATAGCTAATCAAAAACTCCCAAGGGAGCTGGGCACAGGGCCACATGCCCATAATCCCAGTGATTTGTGAGACTGAGAAAGATGGAACATGAGTTCAAGGCCAGAATCAGCAACTTAGTGAGACCCTGTCTAAAAATAAAAAAATAAAAAGGACTAGGGATTTAGCTCAGTGGTAAATTGCCCTGGGTTTAATCCCTAATACCATGAATAAATAAAGAAGCGTGGGGGGGGGGAGATATCTGTGGAAGCTTATTCACCCCTCCTACCAGGTAAAGATATAGCTTCAAGAAACCATCTTTGGTACACAGAGTGAGCCCTCACCAGATGCTGAATTTACTGGTGCCTTGGATTTTCCAGCCTCTAAAATGTGAGCAAAAATTTTGTTGAAATTACTCAGACTAAGGTATTTTGTTATAGCAGTTTAGACAAACTAAGATATTCCATCACTGCATTCTCGTGAGCTTTGTAGGAGAGAATGGAGTTGTAACAGGCTGCTCAGTAATTGTACCTGACCAGCAGCCTCTGGAATTCAGCTACACAAAAGACTGTTACCAATGGACCACTAATGACTAGAGATTCTGAATCACCAAAGCACTTGATGAAACAAATTTTGAGGGTGATGTGAAAATCCACATATGCCCCTGAGAGTATATTGAGCACATAAATATTGTTGCATAGTGTATCGCAGAGAAATGCGTGAGCACAAAAGAATGCAGTTTCAACCTGAATTATTAATTTGGCAACTGGCTATCGGAGACATATTTCACCTTGACCCAGATTTATGACAGCTAGATACACTAAGTTCCTTGTGAAACCTTAGTAAATCTTTAGGCGGAACTACAAAGTTTGCAAAGGTGTTTTACCATAGAGTTAATGCAAATTTCTTTCCAAGAAAAGAAAGAATTTATTTTTGAATTATAATATAAAAAATTATATATATAATGTAAATTATATATATATACACAATATAAATTATCAATATTATTCTTGAATCCCAAGACTATCAAAGAGGGAGTCTCTGTTGGTATATACACTGTTGTGTTCTAAATATTTGTCCTTTTCCATACTCACTCTAAGGTGACAGTTTTAGGAGGTGGAGACTTTGGGAGATGATTATGTCATGAAGCTGGATCTCCTGTGAATAGGATTTGTGTCCTTATAAAAGAGAACTCGGAAGATCCCTTGCCCTTTGTGAGGACATGTGAGCAAGAAGATGGCCATTTATGAACTAGGTAGTTGGCTCTCACCAATTCTTTGATCTTGGACTTCTCAGGCTCCAGAAGTGTGAGAAATAAATGCATATTGTTTATAATCTACATGGACTAAGATATTTTGCTATAGTATCTGAATGTACTATAATATAATACTGTTTCACCATTTTATTATTCAGTAAGGATGAAAGGGGGACAGGTCTTCAAGCAGGATGGAGAGACTGTAGGGGTGGATGCAGTGAGTTTATTGTTTCATGGAATGGACCCTTTCTTGTTCTTCATCTATGTTCTAAGAGAACTAGGATGTGGTGAGTTAATGTGAATTTTTAGCTACATGAGATTGTCCATGAAAATGAGCTTCTTTGAATTATAACTGGAACACTAGATGCCATTTTACAAGCTCTGAAAATGTCTTTTTTCTATATAAATATTAGCAGAGTGAGGATTTAGAAGATAATAACTAATACCTTAAATTCATACAGATCTTATAGACTTTCCATTTTGAAAAACACTACTTTACATGATCTGACATAGCAGCCAATACAGGAAAAGCAAAGAAGCATTCACATTCAGAAAGTACAGTGTCCCTACAGCAGGAAATAATTATGGCCAGCAATGTGGGAGTATAGTCATCACAAAATTAGCTGACTACAGTGGATTAAGGTCACATCTGGCTAATAGGGACTGTCCAAAAACGATTCTGGGAATGGTGGAGGCGTTTATCAGTGCTGGGATTTGTTCTGTCCTTGTGA